ACATTATATTACTAATAATTTCCAATAATAAAATTAACCGAATGGCCACTATTAGTATTTTATATTTGACAATGATTAGCATCTGACATAAGAATTTGCTTATATTTTTACGTTATGTTATGACTTACACTTTATTAACTTTTCAACTCATAATATATGTGAATCACAGCGATTAACTTGTATGCATATAATGTAAAAATATAAGCAAATTCTTATGTCCGATGCTAATCATTGTTAAATATAAAATACTAATAGTGGCCATTCGGTTACTTTTATTATTGCAAATTGTTAGTAATATAATGTAGAAAAATACTGTATTATCAGAATTATCAATATCTATTTGACGAAAAAGCAGCCTGCTACTTAGTAAAAATCAAGTAATACTGAGGTAACTCACGGTAATCACTCTGTTTTCACGCGCTATCACTGTATTGTATTGAAACCCCTATTACTGGTAGACTTTGCACGTCAAACAATTGATTCAATATTAAATAAATAAAATAAATAAAAATCGTTAATCACTGGTCTCTCGCGCTCACAAACTACTGTTTGCGACGGGGGACACCAGGTAGGGTGACCAGAACGTCCTCCGTGGGGAGGATTGTCCTCCTTTGGACCCCTTAGAACACTGTCCTCCCCGGTGTCTGAGGAGGACGTTAAGATGTCCTCCTTGAACATAAGTTGCATAAAATTCCTCTTTTTTCCTAATTTTATGTGTTTTTAGTAAGTTAATGTATATAAATATGTTTAATTCCAGTAGTTTTATTGAATGTAATTCTATTTTTGGCAAAATACTGTTTAAAGATTGTTTTATCGAGTAAAGTGTATACATCTAATTTTATGTGTTTTTAGTAAGTTTATGTATATAAATATGTTTAATTCCAGTAGTTTTATTGAATGTAATTCTATTTTTGGCAAAATACTGTTTAAAGATTGTTTTATCGAGTAAAGTGTATACACGTTTCAATAAATATAGTAGTTTTATAAAGTTAATTATTTGAAATTTAATTATTTTGTAAGAATATCTCGAATTTATATGATGAGTATTTTAAGTTATTTAAGTGTATACAGACAAACAATCAATTCAGATTTGAAAGTAGCCTGTCCTCCTCACGACCTCCCCATAACATTGCATTTATATCAAATGTCCTCCTTGGGGCTCAAAAACTTCTGGTCACCCTAACACCAGGACAAAAGTTTATTTATATATTAATTATATCGTTAGGGATGCACGAGTGTATGGTGATAAAATAATTTATTTGCAAATTCAGGATTCATTTTAGGATGTTGCTACCAATTTTACAAACACTACACCAGGACAAAAGTTTATTTATATATTAATTATATCGTTAGGGATGCACGAGTGTATGGTGATAAAATAATTTATTTGCAAATTCAGGATTCATTTTAGGATGTTGCTACCAATTTTACAAACACTCCACAACATTTATCATTCATGATATATTGCACGTCAATGATAATAAATTTAATCCGATGAACTGGCACTGCTATTAAGACGATGAAATATGAAAAAACTATATTATTGGATTAGCAGGTAGTTAGGTGGATAGCTTTCTATATTATGAGATAATACTATTGAATTAAAGTTATCACTGAATTGAATTGAATTATTGAACCAAATCCTGAAAGTTTTGTTCCCAATGCACTGAACTTTTGTTAGTGTTAACTCATGTAACGTCATTTGTGTTATCAATACTAGACACATACAGTAGTAGGCTTACAATGATTACGAGTTAATCATATTGAACAACAATTCACACTAATTATTGTTAATTATTGCAAACATAAGATAAAAGTCCTGTCACACAAAGTGATACAATATGATTGCGATTTGGTATAAATATGAGCTGTCACATTGGATATTTTTCATAATTGAATATTGAATTAACAAATTGTCCAATACAGATTCAATTTAAAACATACAACATGAGTAAATTATATATAGCGTTAGCTATTGTTTTAGTTGTCGTAGCATGCGAAAGTAACGCAAGTAAGTATCACATGCATTAAATCTATCATACTTACAGTTTGTTGGTAATATGTCAATAATTAATATATTAACCAGGAATGGTTGAAACCTATTTGTACCGCATTTCAAAACTTTCGGGTGATAAAGTCTATATCGGTTGCGACGGTTATAAAGTTGGTGATTGGCTTGGAATTGGTTGCAGTTACAATATTGCTTTTAGTTCAGCACAACCAGAGTACAATGATAGACTTCTCCAGGTCGACCTCTACAAGGACGATATCCCATTCTTGAGAGTATTTAATGAAGGGCGTAAGTTATTAAACAAATATCAATAATTTATAAATTCCGCGTGACTATGATAAAAAGCCAACCTTTGAAACAATACTGTATTTACGTACTTATTGAACGCCTCGTTATTAAATTTCTCTTAATATTTAATAATTAAATATTTTGTAAAAGATTAATATCTTAATGGTTAAAGAAATGTTACCAAAATGACCTTTATCACTTTAGCTAAACGCTATGCAACCAATCCCGTAAAAGGCATAGATTTGGGAAAAATGGAGTTTGATATGTTTATGGACTATGCGGTCATAACTAATACCACCGGTGCCAATAACGAAACTGCTGGAGCGTACAGATGCATAGTAAGATACGTTGATTATCATGGTAATTATGGTGACATCACTTCCGCTACAAAGCACCTGAAATTAAAATAAACTGTGCTGATTACAACAATTAACGCGTTCAATTTTATAAAAGTAAAATTAAATTTTATGTCCAAATTTAATATATAATTTTAGTGTTCCTAACAATTCAAAATTTGTATTTAAATTTAAATGAGTAAATAAAGCATTTTAAAAACTATTCGTGTTAAAAATTCGGTTAATTATTTAATGTTTATATCATATATTTATACAGTTTAATATATAATTAATAATAATTGTTTTTACTGTTTATTTTAATCGTGTTATTATGAACTAACGTTCAATATAACACGTTACAATTAATAAAAAGTGTTCCAGTACCAATTATTTTATTTCAAACTCAGCATGATTAAGTATGTTTTGAAAGTTATTATATATATTTTAATGTTAAAATTTTATTAAATTAATTATAATTATTTTTGTATTTTATAGTTAAAATAAATTTTTAATTAATTAAAACAAAATTCTAATATTTATTTATGCACCTAATTTGCAGCAATTTAATTTAAATTTTAAAAACAAATATTATTCCTTTAAATATATTAATATACTCTAAATTAGTCACATGTTTATGTGTTTATAATATTGATTTCAAACCTAACACTTTGCTATATATTTTTTAAAAAATAATATAAACAATTTAACACTTTAATAAAGTTAAAATTGATTTGCTTGACAAGTAATTTATTAATTTATTACTTTAAACAAGGTGACTTATATAATCCAAACGGCTGTTATAGTATAAGCAACCATATATTCAACCAGGTCAACTTAATATACATCGTCTGAAAGCCAAGATATAGACCTTTCAAATAAGCTATAGATTTATAAAATCTTTGTCTTATTTTTTATTTTAATCACATTTCAAAATTGACTAAAATTTGTATGTAAACCAGGATACATTGCAGCAAATACATTGTTTCTATGGGCAAAATATGGGATTGGTATAAAAAACTATAAAAAATCATTATTTTTGAAATGTGATTAAAATAAAAAATACGACAAAGATTTTATAAATCTATAGCTTATTTGAAAGGTCTATATCTTGGCTTTCAGACGATGTATATTAAGTTGACCTGGTTGAATCATTAATGACCTTTGACCTAGCCTTTCAATTTTTTAGGCGGCTTGGATAATTTTTAAAAATACCCTGTATTTAAAATTTTTATAAATAATTTATTAATCAGATTTGACATTGAACAAAAGGAATTGCAAGCGTTTAAATACTGTTCAACTGATTGTTTGGAGGACCTGGGCAACCGATTATATTTATATGAATTCGTATCCGTTTTGCGTTTATTTATGAAAAATCCATTCAAACTATACGAACGATATTTTAGTGAAATCAGAGACTATACGATAAATATATACAAATCACATGAGAAAACATACGATAAGATCACGAGTCGAGACTTTTGTGATGTACTCATTGGCTCTAAACGGGAGGCCATTATTATACGGATGAAAACCTGACCAGCGTAATGTTGGATTTGTTTTTAGGTATTTTAAAAATAACTCGTAATCATTGTAAGCTTACTACGTGTCTACTAGTATTGATAACACAAATAAAGTAAAAGGAGTTAACACTAACATATACGGAGATTAGTCATGAGAAATACCATTTGTGTCCGGCTCATATTTATATCCAATGAAAATCATATGAGTACTTTAGGCACAGGACTTTCAGGTTTGGTTTCAATAATTCAATTCAATTCAGTGATAACTTTTATTCAATAGTATTATTTCATAATATAGAAAACTAGCCACCTAACTACCTGCTAATCCAATAATGTGGTTTTTTTCATTTTTCATTGTCCTAATAGCGGTGTCAGTTCATCAGGTTAGATTTATTATTGTTTACGTGCAATATATCATTAATGATAAATGTTGTGGAGTGTTTGTAAAATTGGTAACAACATCCTAAAATGAATCCTGAATGTTTAATAGGATTTTCACGTAGTACTGTGAGCTAACCATATATCTACCTGTATATATCATAATTAGATAAAATAACAACACACCTTGGTGATATGGTTCGTACAATAAGTGCAATAATTGAGCATTATTGTATTATTATAATCCAGACTGGTTACCGTGAATAACCTCATAATCACTCGATAATACTAAGACTGCAATCTACTCGTAAACAATTAAATATAAAAATAATCCATTAATGTAGATTTATATATTTTTTTAACGATCCGCTTAGTACATTTGCTTTCTCTGTTTAGTATGATGATCGTTTAATTGCATTATATCATGAATGATAAATATTGTTGTGTGTTTGTTAATTTGGTAGCGATATCCTAAAATGAATCCTGAATTTGGAAATAAATTTTTGTATCACACATTCTATCCTAATCTCTCATAATTTATATCCTGGTCATAGACGGTTAATCCACCGGCGAGGCGGCTTTTGTAAATTATTAAGACATTTAAGCTTAAATATTTTAAATCTGGTCTATCACACAGATTAATGACACTGGTAATGTATGTAGGTTGTACCGTTTGGCATTTGTAGAATTGTGTGCATAAATTAATATAGATAATTATTATATAAGGTGTAGGATTTAATAACGGGTAACTTTGGGACACTATAGTAGAATGGCTCTAAAATTTTATATAATTCAGTTGCAATCAATTTGATTTGTGGTAATTATAGTCCTAATATGTGGCTTTAATTCTGTATATGTTTCATTCAAATGATTTAATATAAGGTAGGTCATTCTATCTAGAAAAACCTTAAAATTCATGGCAATCTGAGTAATGGTCTTAAGGCTAGGTCAAAGGTCATTAATGATTCAACCAGGTCAACTTAATATACATCGTCTGAAAGCCAAGATATAGACCTTTCAAATAAGCTATAGATTTA